TCCTCCTCCTCCTCCTCCTCCTATCCCTTGCCCTGACGGTCCGCGGAACCAGCGCAGTCACACCAGCAGCGCTGCGAGCGTGGCCGAAGGCCCGGGGCCGTACCCCACGACGTCGCGTTCGTAGTAGCCCTCGTTCAGCCACGCGGGCCTGTGCGGCTCAAAACGGAGGAAGCTCCCGACTGTGGAGGATCGGGGATCGAGGTGAGAGGGTACATTTTCTCCTCCTACTCCTCCTCCTCCCCCTCCTCCTCCTCCGCCTCCTCCTCCTGCCCCAACTCCTGCTCCTGTGCCTCATCCCCATGATCCTCCTCATCCTCTCCGTCTGATGCTTACTGTGACTACAAGTATGAATGGCATTAGTAACATTAGTATTCGTGATGCTGTTAATAATATTGCCAGCATGATTAGCAGTAGCATTAATACGTTTGTTGGTAAGACTATCAGTATTCGTAGTAGCCGTAGTATCATTACTATGAGTAGTAGTAGTAGTAGTAGTAGTAGTAGTAGTAGTAGTAGTAGTAGTAGTAGTAGTAGTAGTAGTAGTAGTAGTAGTAGTAGTAGCAGTAGTAGTAGTAGTAGTAGTAGTAGTAGTAGTAGTAGTAGTAGTAGTAGTAGTAGTAGTAGTAGTAGTAGTAGTAGTAGTAGTAGTAGTAGGTAGTAGTAGTAGTAGTAGTAGTAGTAGTAGTGTAGTAGTAGTAGTAGTAGTAGTAGTATGTAGTGGTGTGTGGTGGTGGTGGTGGGTGGTGGTGGTGGTGGTGGTGGTGGTGGTGGTGGTGGTGGTGGTGGTGGTGGTGGTGGTGGTGGTGGTGGTGGTGGTGGTGGTGGTGGTGGTGGTGGTGGTGGTGGTGGTAGTAGTAGTAGTAGTAGTAGTAGTAGTAGTAGTAGTAGTAGCAGTAGTAGTAGTAGTAGTAATAGTAGTAGTAGTCGACGATTAGTGGTGGTTTTATTACTAGTAGGCATAAGAATGACAGTAATATGTTAGAGCCGGTTCTACTGGTAGTATTATTAATAGTGTCAGTAGGGTTGGTATGATTAGTGTATGCATGCGTATCATGTTTATCCATCGTACGCATACTACTAGTAATAGTCGTTGTAGCATGAAGAGAGTATGTGTATGGCTCGTATGCGTCTTATTATTCGCATCCGTATTCGAAATATAGTTATGATTGCTATGTGTAGTCTTCTTGGCTGTTTAGTATTAGTAATGTTAACGTTCGTATGAGTATTCGTATTCGTATCAGTCGTCTTCGTAATATTGTTCTGACTGCTCGTCTTCCTAGCTTGCGTATTATTATTCGTATGGCCATGTTTCTATAAACCTCAGTATGAGTAGTCGTGTTCGTCTGGTTCGTCTTATTGGTATGCTGCTTATTCGTAGTAGTCGTCTTCTTCGTATCACTAGTAGTCGTATTATATCGATTGGTATGAATAGTTTTATCCTTAGTAATCGGGTCCGTCGTCAATCTTATTCGTATGTTTCTGACTATTGATCGTGTGCTTCGTATCCGCATTAGTCTTATTAGTCTTCTTTGTACTATCATTATCAGTATTGCTCCTCCTCTGCATCCTCCTCCGCATCCTCCTCCTCCTCTTCATCCCCTCCTCCGTCACGCTCCCTCTAGCTGCGGAACGCCTGCCTCCATACGAAGCATAACATACAGGGTTGAAAATGAGCGTGCGAATAAGGTGGTGAGGCGGACGACTCTGCCCACCACTCAGACGCTTGACGGGTCCTTCCCATCTCTGAGCAGCCTCAAGGTCTTCTGTTCGTTTTTGCTGCGGGGGGGGCCCTGAATGCAGGGCCCCCAAAGCAAGCGGAGCCGCGAACTCCCCAAGGCTGCGCAGGCCGAACTTCACACCAGACCAGCGCGGGTCCCATGAGCCAGCCACAGACGGTGGCTCTTGTCAGCCAGTCAGCCCAACCGTGAGAGCCCCGTGCACGTCAGGGCGTACACAATCCGTTCCAAAAGACCGCGTGCGTCGCATCGAGAGCACTGGGGAGCTTCTGGCAGATTCTGGGAGTGGGGGGCTCCAGAAGTTTTCGGGGTGGGTCTTGCAGGGGCTCTCAGGGTCTGAAAAGGTTCTCGGGGGTCTCGGGGTGGGGGCCCGGGGGGAAGAGGAGGAGGACAGAGGGAGAAAGGAAGGAGGGGGGAGAAAGGGAGGAGGGCGAGGATGCAGAGGAGGAGGAGGAGGATGAGGAGGAAGGAGGAGGGAGGAGGGAGGAAGCGGGAAGAGGGCGGCCTGCCCAGCGCGAAGCGGTCGCGCAGCAGCTTCTCCATCGGCTTCAGTGAGTTCTCCGCCCAGCAGCAGCGCGCGCCCGAGAGCCCCTCATAGAAGTAGTCGTTGTTCGCGAGGAAGACGTCGTACTCCTCTCGGGAGCGGCCAAGAGGGGGGCGCCCAAGGGGGGGGGGGGGGGGGGGGGGGGGCAAATCATGGCCAGCCAGGGGCATGTGAGCGGCCCAGGGGGCGACGGAGAACGTATTGAAATAAGAAGAGGCCC